AATGGGAAGAGGGAGGGGGGGGGGGCAGGAGCTCAACGGCAAACCGACACCAACGAGTGCCAGATATGTCGCCAAGATGTCGGTTCGCTGTATCATGAACGTTTTTGTTGTGATGTTTGGGCGTTGGAAAGGCGAGAGCGCTGCTCTGACGCACTGCTGGCGGCTGCGGCGAATATCAATCGATGGCATCAAGATGAGAGAGCATTTGCGGCAGGCTTACTCCCGTTCCCTCGCGAAGCAGTGCCGAAGCCATTGTATGCGACCGACGCTGGCATGCACTGGGTGAACCGCCCGTCGGGTGGATATTTGTCAGGGAGAATGTACCCTGATGGCTATGCTTTCCACCCTCGGCATCGTCACTTTCGAAGAGCAGGCTGGTCGCTCGCCATGTTTGACGACGGCGGGAGGTTCATAGCAGCAGCATGTGGCGAGGCCCCTTTCCAGGAATGCCCATTTCCGCAGGCGCGGGACGGAGAAGATTACGCAGTGAGAATGGCTAGTGAGTGCGTGTTCGGTAAATTTTGTTTGCACATCGACGGCGCTGGCACTTTGAAGTGGATTCGTGATCGTGCGTGGTCAGTGGGCAGCGCGAATGAGCGCGCGCACTTGTGGCAGCGTGCGTGGCATGTATTTGAGGACGGATTGCAGGCCGTCAAGGTTCGCGCGCACAGCACACTGCTTGATGCGCGTGAAGGCCGCACGTCAGAAGTGCACAAGCGTGGCAACGACAAAGCCGACGAGTGTGCTAAGCTAGGTGCAGCATGCCATCCAGACACAACAAACTCCTTAAGCAAGTTTACAGCCCTGGTGAGTTTTGCCCAGGAGCCTTGCAGGTGGATCGGGGGCCAGGAGGTTAACCATGCTTCCAAGGCTCTCATAGACACTGTAGAATGTCCTGGGAAGGGGTGTTGGCCAAGAAGAGAAGGCGTCGGCCTCGGGAACCCTCACAGTGCTGCTCGGTGGGATCCCGCTCGATGCTTCCCTTTGCTGATTCGAAGACGGCCGACACCGACCCAGAGCTGGAGCTGATGATTCAGCTGCAAGGACACCAGCTGCGCATTGCAGACGTGCTCGATCGCAATGGTGATCTTATTTTGTCAGGTCGTAGAGTAGCTATGTGTACCAGGTGCGGAGGCTGCGCGTGGTCGGGCATCCAGAGCCTAGCCGAGCCGTGCGAGCCCCCCTCTTATGTTATGAAGAGGCAGAGAGGCATAATGGAGAAGAGGTTTCTTCCTTGTTGGTCTGTGCAGTACAGCGGATGGGTGATCGGACCTATGCACAAGTTGACCAGTGCTGAATTGCATCACCTCGCTAAGCGAGGAATTCGGAAGCCCACCCCCCTGGGTGAGGACCCCGTGGTTGGAGGTCCCGTCCAGGGCCTGTGGGGGGAGCGCTGGAGTGAACAGGAGCTCCTGCGCGTTTTGGTTTCGATTCAGGTTTACTCGAGGTGCTGATGGCCCAAACGAAATCCAGGGTTTCGGAGGAGAGTGAGAGCGACTCCGATTTGTTTTAATTTGCTGCGTTTCGGTGACAGCGGCATTGACGCTGTCTCCACATGGAACAAAACACAACATAACAGCAGGAGGGGGAGGAGGAGGGGGAGGTGGAGGGGGAGGAGGAGGAGGAGGAGGAGGAGAAGGGTGGAGGAGGAGGAGGAGGAGGAGGAGGAGCAGGAGAGTGGCCTCAGAGAGGTCTCCGGCGGCGCCAGAAAGCCTTGATCCTCGAGCCCGGGGTTCGGAGTCCGCAGAGTGAGCAGGAGGAGGAGGAGAAGGAGGAGGATGAGGAAGAGGAGGAGGAGGAGAAAGAGGAGGAGGAGGAGGAGGAGAAGGAGAAGGAGGGGGACTTGTTCTAAATGCTTAGTCTTTCGTCATTTTCGGCCCCGGGAGCCATCTTGAAGACCAGGGAAAACCGGACCCGTGGTGAAGATGCGAACCAATCTTCTCAAGACGCCGGAGGTCTGGGCTTCCCGAGCGCCCTGACTGCCCGTCGGTGGGCTGCGGCGGAGCCCCGTCGCGCCGCCTTTCGCAGCCCTCGCAGCCTTTCGGGAACGAAAGGCGAGAAAAGGCGAGAAATTTCCTCAGGTTTCGGGTCGGTTTCTTTGGGGCATCCGTGGACGGCTCGGAAGATTCCTGTCGTCGAGGGCGTGTTTGTGGCATCATGTGGGAGAGTCTTGGACGGCTAGAGGTATTTTGAAAGGCTCGTGGCGTAGTCTTGGGGATGTCTGTGAGCTTCCGAAGCCGCGCGGGGTCCCGGAACCGCGCCGGACGCGCGGGGAGTGAAAGCGTATCTGGGTGGCGACCCCCCCCGGGACTCCCCCCCCGCCGGGGAAGGGAAAAAAGGGAAGGGGCTTCCCGTTGACGTGGTTACAACACGGGTCGATTTCCCTCAAGCCTGCTAGAGCACTGCAACGACGACGACGACGACGACGACGACGACGACGACGACGACGACGACGACGACGACGAACGGCACAGCCCCTCACACACGCCGAAAGGGTCGGCAGATTTTTCAACATCCCTCCTGTAGAGGGACAGGCCCGACTTAGGGACAGCGGCGGGGGTACGGAATCTGCTGCGTGCAGCTGGCTTCGGCTCCGCCGCTGGAGGCGCTCTGCTCGATACACCGGCGCCTCCAGCGCCGGGAGGCGCCAGAAAAACCAGTTTTGTGAGTTGATTGGCTAACTCGACGGAGGAGGAGGAGGAGGAAGAGGAGGAGGACGAGGAGGAGAAGGAGGAGGAGGAGGACGAGGAAGAGGAGGAGGAGGAGGAGGAGGAGGAGGACGAGGAGGAGCAGGAGGAGGAGGAGGAGGAGGAGGAGGAGGAGGGGGAAGGGGAGGAGGAGGAGACGCCATAAACATAAACTTGTGGCGCTCCGCGCAGATTTCTTGGATCTGCGCTGGGCCCCCCCCGGCAGCGCCTCCGGCGCCGCCCCTGGCGCGCTCCGCGCGGCGGGGAGGGGGGTCCAGCGCGGTTCCAGCAAATCCGCGCGGACCTCCAAAAGTTTACGTTTATGTGGCTTTTCGCCTCTACTAACACCCCTTTAGTACTCCCCCCTTTCGTCCGACGAAACCCCATCCCTCCTGAGTTCGATCCGCTGGCGCATCGAACCGCAAAAAAATGTGCAAAACGAGGTTTCCGGCCGCCGCCGGAACCCGAGAGGCGTCGACCATCGGGGCGCACGGGGGACATCGTTTTCCGGAAATTCGATGCACCAGCGGATCGAGCCCCCCCTCAGGGTCCCCCCTTTGGTGGACCCCGACAAGGTCCAAGGCGATTGGCGAATTGCGTTTGTGTTCGTTTCTCGAGAGAGCGCGCTGCGGCCGCAGATTATTTGTTCAAGGGAGGAAAAATCACCCGGACCGGAAAATTGGCGTTTACTGAACGGCCCTGGGCGTTTACTAAACAGCCCTGCCCTGTTCGATTCCTTCTTTGGGTGCGTTTGCTAAACGGCCTCGCGTGTCGGGGTGGTTATTATCGGGGTGGATTTTCTGCCCTCTAGACGAAGCCCCATCCCTCCAAGGTCCAAGGCGATTAGCGAATTGCCTCTGTGTCCGATTCTCGAGAGAGAGCGCGCTGCGGCCGCAGATGATGTCTGGGCCTGCGCCCGCCAGGTCCGGTCCCAGCGGGCCGTGTTTTTTTTACGCAGGGCCGTCCTCCTGAGAGGAGTTCTGTCCTCCTCCTCCTCCTTCTCCTCCTCCTCCTCCTACTCCTCCTCCTCCTCCTCCTCCCCCTCCTACGCAGGGGCGTTCTACCAGGAGGAGTTCAGCTGGGAGGAGTTCTGTCCTCCTCCTCCTCCTCCTCCTCCTCCTCCTCCTCCTCCTCCTCCTCCTCCCCCTCCTACGGAGGGGCGTTCTACCAGGAGGAGTTCAGCTGGGAGGTTCTGTCCTCCTCCTCCTCCTCCTCCTCCTCCTCCTCCTCCTCCCACGCAGGGGCGTTCTGCTGGGAGGAGTTCAGCTGGGAGGAGTTCTGTCCTCCTCCTCCTCCTCCCCCTCCTCCTCTCCTCCTCCTCCTCCTCCTCCTCCTCCTCCTCCTCCTCCTCCTCCTCCTCCTCCTCCTCCTCCTCCCCCCCGCAAAATGGGGCTCGGCGGCTGGGCGCGGGGAGTCGGCGTGAAGGGAGCAGGTCCTTTGGGGCGAGGGGACGTACGTCGGGGGCGCGCGAACATGGATTAGCGATCCATGGATTTGGCGCGCGGTCGCCAAATCCATGGATCGGGGGAGGTGCCCTCCCCAAAATGCGGCTGGTGCCGCCTCGTTCGGCGGCGGAAATCCGCGATTTACCATGGAAACGGGACCCGTCGCTAATCCACGCCCCCTTGATCCATGTTTGCGATCGCCTGGGAGGAGTTCTGTCCATCCAGTGGGTGGACTAAAAGTGTCCACACGTGTCTCGCCAAGACCTTGAGTTATTAGAGCACGTCGGACCAGAATGTATACCCCCCTTCCCCCAAATTCAAAGTTGAGGGGCGGGGCGGTATGCCACAGGCCAGGGACAAGATGTGGACACGTCAACTTTGGTTTCGGGGGGGCGGGGTGCGAAGCAATGGCATCTCGCAGTTGTGGTGGTCATCATGCCGCATCGCCTTACCGCCACGGGTGTGGACACTCTTGGTCCCGGCACCGCCCCCCGAGGACTCGCACGGCCGCAATCTGCGGCCGACGACGCTCGGGCCCGCGAGGCCCGTCTCGTATTCGAAGGGGGAAGTGCAGCACAGGCATGAGCTTTCGGAGGTCCGCGCGGATTTCGTGGGTCGCCGGTCGCTGGGCTCCCCCTGGCGACCCCTCTGGCGCGCTCCGCGCGCCAGGGAGGGGGTCCAGAGCCGATCCAAGAAATCTGCACGGACTTCCGAAAGGTTCTGTGAATGCTGGTGTTTTCCCTTCTACCCATATGGCGTCTTCTTCTACCCTTACATCCTCGAGAGAGATCCCCCAGGGAAGACCCTCCGGCGGACTTCGCCATTCGAGGAAGCAGCAGGCGGTTCGGGCATCACAGGCGCTCAGAAGGAGTTTCGTAGGGAGAGTCGTGACCGCGCCCGCGTTCGAGGTGGTGGTCGCTGTGGCGATCGTCGCGAACGGGCTGCTTTTGGCCGCGGAGGCCCAGTACCGTGGATTCAGCCTGGCCGAGTACACTGGGCATGCGAGCGCCAACGGTCATTCTGCCGAGATGTGGCCGCATGCTTCAGAGACCTTCGATGTGCTCCATTGGGTGTTCGGAGTAATCTTCACGATCGAGATCGTGCTTAAGATTGTGGGTCTATGTCGAGAGTTCGTCCACGACCCATGGAATTGGATAGATCTGGCGATCGTCTTATTCTGGCTGTTTGATGTTTTGGGGGAGTTCGGTGTAGAAGTGCAGTTCTTGCGGCTTGCCCGCCTAGCCAGGCTGCTACGACTCCTACGCCTCCTCCAATTCATGCAAGGTCATTTGGCGGAAAGCTTGTTCATCATATCGACATCACTTAGGGACAGCATCTCGACTACAGCATGGAGCTTCCTGTTTCTACTAGTAGTGCATTTCTTGATGGCTTTATTCCTCAACCAGATCCTCGCCGAGTTCTACTTTGTCTCTGGACCGTCCGACGACGCAGGCCAAAGTGTAGTGTTCGAGTATTTTGGATCGTTCTCACGGTCATTCTTGACAATGTACGAGATCACTTTCGGCAATTGGCCGACCCCGGTGAGGGCATTGACGGAGCACGTCGACGAGGTGTTCATTGTCTACGGCGTGGTGCACAAGACCATTATTGGATTCGCCGCTGTCCAGCTGCCTGCGGCAAGTCCCGCCATCCTGCAGTGATGTGTGGCACCTCGTGTCACCAAGGTTGGAGGAGCCGTAACATGTGGCACGGCCCTCCGCGTCGTGTCGGGGAGTCTCTCCTTGTGTTCGTCGTCGTATTCCTCCCTTCCTCTTCTCTCCTCCTCTGTTGGGGGGCCTTTAGAGGGCCTCTTGTGGGCTCCTTGGGTCGTTTCAGGACGTTCTTGGGCTGTTCGGCGCCTCTCTCTGTCCGTCTTGGGGGCCTGTCTCTGCCGTCTTGGGTTTGGGAGCCCTGAGAGGGATCGTCTTGGAGGTATTTTGGGCTGTCTTGGAGTATCCTTGGGCCACCTTGGGGGTCACCTTTGAGGCCTCTTGGGCCATCTTGAGAGCAGTTGGGGCTGTATTGAGGTTCTCTTGGGGGCCGGCTGGTCGGGCCGTCTTGGCTTGACGGACGTCTAAACGGTTTGAATATTCAACAAACATAAGCAGTTTGGACCTCGTCGGGCTCTCCTGCAGGTCCTCCCGGAGCCCCGTACAGTGGGGGCCCGTGCCAAGAAACACCTTGCTTGCCTCCAGGGTGCCCTGGGTTTCTTGGGTCTCGATGGTTTTGCTGTGGAAGGCGCGACGCTGCCACACCAAAAACTCAGGGGACGCCCTGGGGTCTCAGGGTTGGGTTTCTGGTGTAAGGTTTCTTATGGTCGAGCTCCTACCCAGGCATCCGACGTCTCGATTTGTTCGAGACACGGGCCCCCGACCTCCCGACCACCTCCCCGGGGCCGGTTTTTCGTCCCGAGTCGTTTTCGACGGCCCCGAGGCCCGGCGAGGGCCTCGAGAGGCCGAAGACCACGAAAACCCTCCGTCTCGATTTTGTTCGAGACGCCCGATCTCTGGGTACTGCATGTGGGCCTTCCCAGGCCGGCCTGGGGCCACCTCGGATTGCGTCCGACGCGTCCTGGGCCGCCCTGGCGGGCTTGGTGGCCCGCCAGCAGGGCCGCCCCGGAGATCTCACGCTGGGCCTCCTCCCCTGAGATCCGATGCCGTGATTTTTTCAATACGGGGTCCCTGGAAGTCTCGACCCATTCCCCAGGACCGGCTTTTCATCCTGAGTAGTTTTCTGACGGTCCCGAGGCCCGGCGAGGGCCCCCTAGGGGCCGAACTTTACGAAACACCTCCGTCTTGATTTTTGTCAACACGTTGGATGTCTGGGTCTGGAGGCCCTGGAGGGCGCCCGGGGGGGGGCGCTGGGGCGCCCAGGGATCCTCGGGGAGGGCGAGGCGGAGCACCCAGATCGAGATCAAACGCATTGAGAAAATCAATCCTTCTCCTCCTCCTCCTCCTCCTCCTCCTCCTCCTCCTCCTCCTCCTCCTCCTCCTCCTCCTCCTCCTCCTCTCCTCCTCCTCCTCCTCCTCCTCCTCCTCCTCCTCCGCCGTAGCCATTTTGGCTCAAGTTCCCAACGTCGCTCCCGCGCTGGGAGCTTGTTTGCAGCCGAGGGAGCGGCTCGAGGCTCCTTGCTTTCGCCCCACAGGGGGGCACCTGTGAGCTCCTGGAGGAGCAAGCCCACGTCCTGCAGTGCATGCAATGGCGCAGTGGGGCAAGGGCAACCATGGTTGGCGCAATTCTCGTTCCCGCAGTCGTGGCAATGATTGGCGGGGTCAGCATCAGTCCTACAGCGTGTGCAGCAAGTGTGGCCACTGGGAATGGGATTGGAGAGGTCACGCTTGGTGCAGTGTATGTAAGTCCGCATATAAAGGGTATGAACAACCGCACGGGCTTCCAGGAGGTCTTTCAGAGCATGTTGGTGGAGGACAAAGTGATGTTTCGTCCTCGCTGGCAGATCAAGCCCGTGCTGCACTCGTTCAATTTCCCGAGCTGCAATCTCTTCTGGCATCCGCACTTCCCCCTGAGCCGCTTCCTGCAGTTCCTACCAATGTGGAGTTGGAATCACTGGTGGCGGCCAAACGTACGGAGCTTGCCAAAGAAGTGGAGCAGGCAGCAAAAGAAGAAAGGTTGGCATGGCAAGACCGCAGTGCTCGACAGGACGCCTTGGCGAAAGCTAGGGAGAAAGTCGCCCAAGCTGAATCCGCATTCCAAGCAGCCTCCGCTGGGTTGGAAGAAGCACGCAACAAGCTCAACAATGCCAAGGAGAAGCAGAATAACTTCAATGAGGAGGAGTTCAAGTCACGTACCAAAGCTGCAGCTGAAGCCGCCCGTGCTGCTGGAGTTCATGCACCAGGAGAAGTACCTCAAGATGTTCCCATGGAACCCGCAGGCGTACCTGTGGGCGGAGGACATCAGGCTCCTGCAGCAGGGGGCAGCACGGACATGGGCAGTTCTGGCAATCAATCCACATATGATCCTGATATCGTCCAACGCCTTCACGAACTATCCGATGATGAACTTCGTAAAGTGGCAGATTCGACAAAGGTCCCCTTCTCTGAGTGGCAGTTGTTACGGTCCGCACAGAAGGCAGCCAAGAACATCCTTCGTGGCGGTGAGGAGCAAGCTGTTCCTGGCCTGGACGAAGGGGACCAGGATTTGGATGACACCGAGAAGGAAATTCGTGAGCTTCGCAAGAGGCCAGCTGAGGAGGTTTCCCCTGAAGATTTGGAGCGGCTGGAGGCCCTCCTCACCAAAAAGTTCGAGACCAAGGCGGACAAGCGCCTTAGGATTTCGGACTATGCTAATAATCTCTTTGTCAGCAGCTTCGCCAAGCTCGCCGCCCCCCAGGCAGTACCACCCCAGCAGCTACTTTAGTAAGGCTGCTGGAAGCCTTGATGTGAAGTTCTGCAACATTTCGAGTTGGTCTGCGTTGGCCAAGGGAGAGGTTTCGAAAGCTATCGGTCAGACTGACATCTTCTTGTTCGCAGAACATCACGTTAAGCATGAACGCTTGGCTACCGTTAAGAAAGACTGTTCTCAGATGGGCTGGCGCCCACACTTCCAAGCAGCACTTCCTAGTCCAGGAGGAGGTACCCATGGGGGAGTTGGAGGAGTTGTTCAAAAAGGTTTCTACTGTAAGAAATATCTTCGGTCGGCTCTTGGAGGAGCCCAAGAATTTGGATCGGGAGAATGTTGGTTCTTCCTCGAGTTGAAGACACATGGAGTGTCTATGGCTATTGGGGTTATCTATATCATCTCTGATGTGGGTCTCGTCGGTGACAATTTGAAGCGTTTGCAGCAAGTGACTGATTTCTTGCGCATGATTAATACCCCTTTCCTCTTGCTTGGAGATTTCAATATGCCTGCCGTTGATCTGCATGAATGCGGATTCTGTGAGCTTGTTAATGGCGTGGTGGTTGAACCCATGAATGTCGACTTCACATGTGATAAAGGCTTTGGTTCGATGATTGATTATGGAGTGATATCTCGTTCCCTTCGGCCGTATGTTTCCATGAATGCCGATCTTACCTCGGGTTTCAAAACGCATGCATGTTTACATGTCCACCTTCCACTTAATATCTTATCGGTTCCTGTATGTAAGCGGGACAAACCACCACGCTTCCTTCCTGCCGTCGGACCTGACCTGCCATGGCAAGTGCACTTGCATCGGGTTCCCCGCCAGCAAGTCTCTGTTCCTGCCGAAGTTCGTTCGGCATTCCTTCCCTTTCATGGAGCTGGGCCTCCAGGACCACTGTCTGAGGGGTATCAAAAATGGTCAGTTGCTGCCGAAAACCTGATGTTGTCTCGGTCCTGTCAAGAGTCCCCTGGGGGACAAAGAGGTCATGGGGTCCAGTTTCGATTGGGAAGACTTGGCAGAAGGGGTCCCCTTCGGCAAGGCTTTGCGTGCCCGACGCTTGCCTTTTGGTCTTTTGTTTCCTCCAGGCTGTTTGATTTGAAAGTTGCCCTGAAGCGAGGAGGAACTCGGCGCCTATCCGCCCTCAGGAATGTCCTAATTCAACGAGCTGACGAGGTCGGCCAGCACATCACCGCCCTGGTGAACGCCAGGCAGGCCCAGGTTTGGGCTGAACGTCTGAAGGACCCCCCCCTTGACCCTACCTCGGTTGATGTTATGCAGGAAGGGTTGGAACCCATCCTTCGTCGTGCGTGGACGCAGGCTCGAGAAGCTGGTCAGGGTTGCATTAAGAAGTGGTTGTCGGAGGGCCTCAAGGGGGGAGCCAAACCCATCCATCAGTGGTTGAAGCACGGTTCTAAGCAGGAGGTTGAATTCCTCATTGATCAAGGTAAAGTGGCCCAATCCCCCACCGAGATGCTTGAAGTGCGAGAGCTGTTTTGGGAAAAGTGGTGGACCCCATCAAGTGGTCAAATCGAATCCCTCGTGTATAGCATGGGTCAGCTCCGGCACGAGGCGGCCGTTGAGGCCACTGGTTTAATCCCCATCCAACCGCATGATGTTATACGGGTTTGCAAGTATTTCCCTGCAGGAACTAGCCTTGGAGTCGACAGTTGGTCGCCTAAGGACATTTTGCAGCTGCCGCCAGAAGCTTTGCAGGATCTGAGTGACCTTTTCAATGCGCTTGAGTACACCCAGAGTTTCCCTGTTCAGGTTTACTTGTGTCTTGTGGCCCTTATCCCTAAGACCGTGAGCACGGAACGGCCGATCACCAAATGCCCCACCTTGTATAGGATGTATACTAAACTCAGGGGAGACCGTATTTTGGACTGGACCGATTCTCATGTTGCGTTTTGGGATACTGCTGTTAAAAATTCCTCGGCCCTGAGAGCGGCCATGGTTCGCGAGTTGGTCCACGAAATCGCCCGTGAGGAAGGATGCCAGTCCCTTTCGGCCCACTGGGATATGGAAAATTTTTTTGATTCTATCGACCCATCTAAGTTGGTCAGGCTTGCCAGAGAGGTTGATTATTCCGCCCTCATGCTGTACATGGGGCTGCTGATCCACACGGCCCCCAGGGTGCTCGAGGTGGAGTCTGTAGTGTCTCGTGTCCTTGGAGCAGGACAGTCTATCCTGGCAGGATGTTCTCAGTCTATGCCGTGGATTAAATGTTACCTGTATGATATTTTGGAAACTGCCCACCAGAGGATCCCGAGAGTCCCCATCTTTGCGTACGTTGATGACTTAACCCAATCCCTTCAAGGGCGTGCTGAAGCTGTTGCTCATACTATTGTCCCAGCTATTGTTGAGTTGCACCAAGCTCTTGTTGATAGAGGCTGTGTTATTTCGTCTAAGTCATGTATCGTGGGCTCTAGTGTTGGTTTGACTAGGATCGTGCACCAGAAGTGTGTTAACCTTGGGCTCCCTCTGACGGTGAGGGATACTACTAAAGATTTAGGCGTTGCTACTACGGCAGGAAGGAGGAGGACCATGTGGAAGATGAAACAACGGCAGGCTGAGGGTACCCGACGCTCCAAAAAGTTGTCCTTCCTGGCTGGCATTAATAAAAAGGCGAAGCGCTTGTTTAAGCCAGCTGTGCAGGCTGTTTCAACTTGGAGTCACCAAGTGCTTGGCCTCCCGCCCTCCCTTGTACAGCGGCTTCGAGGTCAAGCTGCTAAAGCATCAGGCTTGTGGGCTTCAGGTGCATGCTCCACTACGATTCTATCGATCAATAATCCGATGCGAGATGACCCTGGGTTTAGACTTCGTTATGAACACCTTCTTGAGTGGGGGAGAACCTGGACCGCCCTGATGCCAAAGCAGAAGATGAGTATTAACAATGTTTGGAACAACCTCGTGAATAGGTTCAATGAAATCGACCCGGCCTCCCGATGGCGACGAGTTAGAGGACCTATTGCTGCTGTTATTGTTTGTATCCTGGACCTCCATGGGCGCCCTGAGTCCCCCATCTCCTGGAAGTTCCCTGGGCCATATCATGTGAAAGCAGATTCGGGCGATTTCAGATTTTTCTTGTGGCACGCTGTATTCCTTGCAGTTTCGCGCGAAGTTTGGCAACGAGCTGCTGATCACTTCTGTGGAGAAGGACTCCGTGGAGGTGTTGATTTTACAGTCTTTAAGCAGCTCCACGCCTCTTTGAAAAAGAATGGCGATGGAGAAGGAGCTGCTTTGCTCACCAACCTGATCATAGGTGGGCAGTGGCCTGAAATGAGATTAAAAGATTCGGGGTATGAAAGCAACGGGGTGTGTCCCAGGTGTGGGTTGGCCCCTGAGACCCCCTTCCACCGGTTTTGGGAGTGTGAGGACAATAAAAATATCGAAGATTCTGCGATCCGACTCACTGATAGGTTTGCCGATGATGCCCGCCAGGGGGCCAGTGACGCTTCCTGTTTTTGGACCCGAGGGTTGGCCCCCATGGGCTGGACGCTGGATGACCTTCCTGATGGGCAACTTCGTGTCTGGGCCTGGGGATCTTTCTTGGAGTCCATCAGTTCTGGAGTTAAAATCATCGGAGGAGTGTATGGGACCGATGGGTCAGGAGGAGAACATGGAAAGGATTGGAGGTTGAGGAGATGCGGTTGGTCAGTTGTTCACCTGGACCCCGATTCGCTTGAAGTTCGAGGTATCCTTTGTGGTACCCTACCTACTGTTGGTATGTGTGTGCAGAGCTCTCCTCGAGCAGAACTGTTTGCACTTCATCAGCTCTTGGTGTACACCGAGGGCCCAATTCACGTTTACATTGATTACCAGCCTATTGTCTTGGCCTTCAGAAGAAAGGGAGCACGTGTGGATGACTCTACCATGCTGGACTTATGGCAAAAAGTTTGGACCACTCTTGGAATACGATCAGGTGATGTTCGTGCGACATGGGTTAAAAGTCATCCTACCAGGAGCCAGATTGACCAGTACCAGATCTCTCCCCACGGCCTTGTTGCTAATTCGGTTGCAGATGTTTTCGCTGGGGTGGCTGCCGAATGGGGGGCCTTAGATCCAGAATTAGTCAGAACAGTGCGTAGTGTTGATTCATGTTGTGGCCTCGTGTTGCAGCGGCTCCTAGCTATCAGTCGTCACGTGTCGTTGACTTGTGGTCGTACCCGCCAGGATAGACTAGGCCGCGAGCAACACAAAGAGAAGGCTAGGATTAATAGTGCCAGCCATCGTAAAGCCCGCCTCGTCCAGCAAGGGCATGTTGTCCTGAAGACGAGTACTGTTTTTAAATGTAAGTTATGTGCGAGACGTTTCCCTGCCTTGAAGGGTCGCTTGGATCAGTTTTGGCCAGAGGCCTGTCCAGGCCCTGTGGTGTTGGGTCCCGCTTCGAGGGATGGGCCCTCTGCTGGGATCGGTCCGTGGAGGCCTGTCGGGTCTGATGGTGGTCACCATCCGAGCGTTCCCCTGTGCCACTCCTCGCACCAGTTGCATGTGTTTCGAGGAGTTTTATTTTGTGCTGCATGTGGAAATTTTTGTGTAGGGACCCCAGTGAATCTTGCTGTGATCTGCCCCCTGCGCGACCAGGCGCACCCCAGGCCCTGTAGCACTACAGGGAAGCAGAATCTCAGCAGGCTGCGGAGGGGTCTCCCGCCTAAATATGGCATGAGTTTCCCTGAGGCGTGAATGGGATGTAGGGGCTGAGCTTGCACTCAGGAGCCCGCCACCAGGAATCCCAGGAATCCTCCTCCTCCTCCTCCTCCTCCTCCATCTACCCCTCCTCTCCTCCTCCTCCTCCTCCTCCTCCTCCTCCTCCTCCTCCTCCTCCTCCTCCTCCTCCTCCTCCTCCTCCTCTTCCTCCTCCTCATCCTCCTTGGAGGTTTCTCTGAATTTTCGGCCTCGAGGGGCCCTCGCCGGGGCCCGGGACCGCCGAAGAGCGGCTCGGGACGGAGAGCCGGTCTCCTGGGAGTGGGTCGAGACCTCCGGGGGCCCCGCAGTGAAAAAGTCGCGACGTCGGGTCTCTGGGCTCACCACCCACCAGGCCACCCCAACCCAACCCGAAGGCCTCAATTTGCCCTCCATTTCCAGTGGGGGGGGGTCGGGGAACATTGAACAAACACATATGGAACCCGTACACCCCCCCCAACCCGAAATGCGGGTCTTCGGGTTGGGTTGGGGTGGTTTGGTAGGTAGTCATGGGCATGCATCGAGGCGCGGGTAAGCCTTAGCATCGCTCGGACGTGTGCGTGTTTTTTTTCCTCCGGCGAGGACCATCGAGGAACATCATGGGTCCTCGAGCGAACCAAAAAAGGCGCCGATGGTCCATGCCTTCGGCGAGGCTCCCAGGCGAATGCGCGTAACGCCCGCCCCTGGGCGATTCGCCCCCATCGCCGCCCCCGACTTTCACAGAAGACAGAAGCCCTACCAGACAGTCCTTGACGCTCTACTGCGCCTCAACGTGCCAGGGAGCACGGTGGCGGCTTGGAGTACTGAGCGCCGTCTTTATCCAAGAGACGTTCAAAGTGGCTCAGATGGACGACAACCTCATGGTCAGGCAAACGCTGCGCCGGGAGAGGATTCACTCTCTCAAGATGCGTAAGCTTTTTGAAGAGGCCGACGAAGACATGAATGGCTCGGTTGATCTAGCGGAATGGGAGACAATTTGCCAGGACAAGTGGGTGCAGACTTGGCTTCGCTCCCAGGAGATCCCAATCCAGAATGCTCGAAGCTTGTTTGAACTAATAATCGGATTAGGCGACGGAGACGGATCGCTCACAGCGGACGAGCTCATTCAGGGTACAGCCTCGCTCAAAGGCGCGTCCGCCGTCGTCAACCTGCTGCAGTTAGTCCTTGACCTTCAAAAAAGCTTGAACGATATCAAATTGTGTTTGCCTGTCGCACAGCGTGATCAACTATTAGAGGACAGGCTGGCCTTGTGACATAGCGAGAAATAGGCGCTGGCGGCAGGAGGTGGTGATTGTGCTGTCAGAGACAGAGACCTCTAGGGCATCATAGCCACGTGAGCTCTGAACACATGGCTGCGATGCCAAGCGTGGCCACACGCAGCGTGGAGAGGAGCAAGGCCACCCATGGTCCACGAAGCCTTTCCGCGCCATGTTCGATCCCTCTCGCTCGCTGTCACTGTTTTTGCCTGGACCGCGCAGGCTTTGCATCGAGTGACAGTTGCCCACGCTGGGAATGATTCGCCTGAGTACTGCGGGTAAGCCTCGGCATCGCTCGGACGTCTGTATTTTTCTCAGTGAGGACAATCGAGTAGCATGTTGGGTCGTATTGCGAAGATGTACACGCACGAAGCCGAACAAAACACGGGGATGGACCTCCGAGCGATGCCGAGAAGCTGGTCTCAAAGAAGAGTTGGCACCGCGAGCCTTTGGCGCGGGTCGTGCGGCCCGAGCCCAGCGAAAGCCTGGGCATACTGGCGGGCTCTGGTCAGGCGTGGGGACATGTGTGTGTGGGCCTGGAGTTTTGTCTCGTGCCGGGAAGCTAGATGCGTACGGCGTGGCCGGCCTGGGCGGGAATTGGAGCCGGCCGCGCGTACGAGTGACCTTTCGCCGGAGTGATCTTTGGTGCGGGCTCACAGGGGTGGCCCCGGTACTGGCCCGCGCGCTTGGATCTGGGTCCTGTGCCGTCCCCTGAAGCCGCGCACCCGAGGTCACTCTTGTCCAGGGTCACTTTTGCGTGTAGTCGATGGAGTGGCATCTGACCGCATATATTTTCAGCGCTCGGCCCTCGCATGGCCGCCAGGCACGGGAATGCTTCACACGTGCATCCAGCACGTGGCCTCCGCAAGTCTCGGGCATGCGAATCCAGCCATGCGTGTGCGTGTGCGTGTGCGTGTGCGTGTGCTTTTGCGTGTGCATTTTCATGTGCTTTTGCACTGCGTGTGCTTTTGCTTGTGCTTTTGCGTGTGCTTTTGCGTGTGCTTGTGCGTGTGCTTTTGCGCGTGCGCGTGCGCGTGCGTGTGCGTGTGCGCGTGTGCGCGTGTGCGCGTGTGCGTGTGCGTGTGCGTGTGCGTGTGCGTGTGCGTGTGCGTGTGCGTGTGCGTGTGTGCGTTTGTGCGTTTGTGCGTTTGTGCGTGTGCGAGTGTGTGTGTGTATGTCTGTGTGTGTCGGTGTGTGTCTGTGTGTCTGTGTGCGTCTGTGTGCGTCTGTTTGTCTGTGTGTCTGTGTGTTGTGTGTCTGTGTGTCTGTGCGTGTCTGTGTGCGTCTCTGTGTGTCTCTGTGTGTCTCTGTTTGTCTCTGTGGGTCTCTGTGTGTCTCTGAGTGTCTCTGTGTGCGTCTGTGTGTCTCTGTTTGTCTCTGTGTGTCTCTGTGTGTCTCTGTGTGTCGCCTCTGTGTGTCGCCTCCGTGTGTCGTCTCTGTGTGTCGTCTCTGTGTGTCGTCTCTGTGTGTCGTCTCTGTGTGTCGCCTCTGTGTGTCGTCTCTGTGTGTCGTTTCTGTGTGTCGTCTCTGTGTGTCGTCTGTGTGTGTCGCCTGTGTGTGTCGTCTGTGTGTGTCGTCTGTGTGTGTCGTCTGTGTGTGTCGTCTGGGTGTGTCGTCTGTGTGTGTCGTCTGTGTGTGTCGTCTGTGTGTGTCGTCTGTGTCTCGTCTGTGTGTGTCGTCTGTGTGTGTCGTCTGTATATGTCTGTGTGTGTCTGTGTGTGTCTGTGTGTGTGTGTGTCTGTGTCTGTGTGTGTCTGTGTCTGTGTCTGTGTGTGTCTGTGTGTGCCTGTGTGTATGTTTGTGTGTGTCTGTGTGTGTCTGTGTGTGTGTCTGTGTGTATATGTGCGTGTCTTTGTGTGTGCGTGCGTGCGTGCGTGCGTGTGTGTGCGTGTGTTGTGTGTGTTGTGTGTTGTGTGTTTTGTGTGTGTTGTGTGTGTTGTGTGTGTTGTGTGTGTTGTGTATTGTGTGTTGTGTGTGTTGTGTGTGTTGTGTGTGTGTTTTGTGTGTTGTGTGTGTTGTGTGTGTTGTGTGTGTTGTGTGTTGTGTGTGGTGTGTGGTGTGTGTTGTGTGTGTGTTGTGTGTTGTGTGTGTGTGTGTTGTGTGTTGTGCGTGTGTTGTGTGTGTTGTGTGTGACGTGTGTGTGTGTTGTGTGTGTGTTGTGTGCGTGTGTGTGTTGTGTGTGGTGTGTGTTGTGTGTGGTGTGTGTGTGTTGTGTTGTGTTGTGTGTTGTGTGTGTTGTGTTGTCTTGTGGTGTCTTGTGTTGTGTTGTGCTGTGCTGTGCTGTGCTGTGTTGTGTTGTAGTGTGGTGTGGTCTGGTATGGTTTGGTGTGATGTGTGTTGAGTGTGTGTTGTGTGTGTTGTCTGTGTTGTCTGTGTGGTGTGTGTTGTGTGTGTTGTTTGTGTGTGTTGTGTGTGTGTTGTGTGGTGTGTGTTGTGTGTTGTGTGTTATGTTGTGTTGTGTTGTGTTGTGTTGTGTTGTGTTGTGTGTGATGTGTGCTTGATGTATGTGATGTGTGATGTGTGGTGTGTGTGATGTGTGGTGTGTGTGTTGTGTGTTGTGCGTTGTGGGTGTGTTGTGTGTGTTGTGTGTGTTGTGTGTGTTGTGTGTGTGTTGTGTGTTGTGTGTGTTGTGTGTGTGTTGTGTGTGTTGTGTGTGTTGTGTGTTGTGTGTTGTGTGTGCGCGTGTGCGTGTGAGTGGGCGTGGGCGTGGGCGTGGGCGTGGGCGTGGGCGTGGGCGTGTGCGTGTGCGTGCGTGTGTGTGTGTGTTGTCTGTGTGTATGTGTGCGCGTGTGTGTGTGTGTGTTTGTGTGTGCGTGTGTGTGTGTGTGCGTGTGTTTGTTTGTGTATGCGTGTGCGCGTGTGCGTGTGCTTTTGCGTGTGCTTTTGCGCGTGCTTCCGCATGTGCTCTTGGGTGCGTGTGCGTGTGCGTGTGCGTGTGCTTCTGCGTGTGCGTGCGTGTGTGCGTGTTCGTGTGCGTGTGCGTGTGCGTGTGCGTGTGCGTGTGTGTGTGCGTGTGTGCGTGTGCGCGTGTGTGTGTGTGTGTTTTTGTGTGTGTGTTTGTGTGTGCGTGTGCGTGTGTGCGTGTGTGCGTGTGCGCGTGTGTGTATGTGTGTGTTTTGTGTGTGTGCGTGTGCGTGTGTGCGTGTGTGTCTGTGCGCGTGTGTGTATGCGTGTGTGCGTGTTTGCGTGTGTGCGTGTGTGCGCGTGTGAATGTGTGCGTATGTGCGTGTGTGCGTGTGCGTGCGTGTGTGTGTGTGTGTGTGTTAGTGTCCAGCTTCTTGGTAAGCCTTCCAGCGATAATGCAGAGCTTTGCCAACATCCCACGCGCCCTTTGCAGGAATTATTGGGGGCAGTATCATCGATGATGGTTGTTGCTGAAGCCCATTCTTGACGCTTTGCGTATCCCCGCCATCCCACCCAGAAATGATGCCCAAGCTTCATATTTTGATCAGCGAAGTACAGGACCAAGCAGTGAGACAAGGAGGGGGAAGGGCCATCAAACCGAAGTTCAGGATGAGCCTGGTCAGACCCCTGAGTCAATCAGGAAGACCTTCGCGGCTGGTTCTATCAGGGCGCCTCTTGGAGGCCTCTTGGGGCCAACATGAAAAACTCCAGGGCAAATTGTGGGAGCAGTTGGGGCTTCCTCGGGGCTCTGCTGGGGGCCATGTGAGGAGGCATCAGTCCAAAAGGTGTGGCCTAGTCAGGGCTGCCCCTCTGGAGCTTGAAGGGCCCTCCCTTAGGGCGTTCTTGGGCCAGTTATGGGACCCCGTTGGGCCCGTACGTTTTGGAGCTCTCTCGGGCGATCTTGGGGGCATCTTGAGGCCCCAGAGGCCCATCAGAAGCGAAACTGCGAGGATAATGTAAACACCATGAGAAAAGCATGAGGGTTGCGATTAGTTTGGGCTGCAGAGGGCGTCCTTGAGGAGCTCCGAAGCCATTTGAAGTATACATGTAACGGCGCACCGGGCTCGGGGGCCGAGGGCCGGAACTTCGACCGCAAATGTGGGCCCTGGGGCCCGGGCCCGCTTCTGGGAGGCCTAAAATCGCCCCAGGGAGCCCTCAGACAGCAATCCCGGCGGCCCCAGACGGTCTCGAGACACCCCCAAGACGCCGTCCAGGGGTCTCTGGCGACGCACGATGCGTTTTAAACTGCACCAGAGGCCCCCAAGACGCCCAAAGAGGCTTTTAAGAAGCCGCTCAAGAGCGCCCCGAGAGGGCAAAATCGTTAAGTTTCATTGGTTTTCAATGTTATTTTGTATTCTCGCTGTTTCGTGTTTCCGGCGCTAAAGCACCGCCCAAGAGGCGCCCCAAACCGCTCCAAGACGGCCCAAGAGGCCCCCAAGAGGGCCCCAAGACGGCCCAAGAGAGCCTCGAGACGGCCCCAGAGCCGACCAAGACGGCGCAAGAGGGTCCCAAGAAGGCCCCAAGAGGGACCCAAGAGAGGGAACGCGAACTGAAAAATCAAGCTCTCCACCCCAAGATGCCCCTAAAAGGCCCCAAGAGGCCCCCAGGAAGCCCCCAAGAGACCCCAAGAGGCTCCCAAGAGGTCCCAAGAGGCCCTCAAGAAGCCCAAAAGAGGCCCCAAAACAGCACCCAAAAGGCTTCAAAATTCTTTCTATGAGGCCCCCGAAGACACAGATATAGGCATATGTTATGTATACGTGTATATACATCTAATTTTACACACCCGCACAGACGCACATATATAATATAATATAACATAATATAATATCATAAAATGTATACATATATATACACATATATACGTGTGTATACATCTATACATACATACATACATACATACATGCATGCATACATACATACATACATGCATACACACATACGTACATACATACATACATACACACATGCATACATACATACATACACACATATACATACATACATACATACATACATACATACACACACACATACATACATACATACATACATACATACATACATACATACACATACACATACACATACACATACACATACACATACACATACACATACACATACACATACATATACATACACACATACATACAAGCATACATACATATATACATATATACATGCATACAAACATGCATGCATGCATGCATATATACATACATACATACATACATGCATACATAAATGCATGCACGCATGCATACATATATACACGCATATACACATACATACATACATGCATGCATGCATACATACATACATACATACACGTATACATACATACAGGCATACATACATACATGCATACATACATGCAT